CCACCAAGCCCATCGGCCTGCCATCCACCCATCAACCCCAAACTGCCTGCCCACCCACCTGCCAACCACCAAGCCCATCTGCTTGCCATCCACCCATCCACCCCTAACTGCCCGCCCACCCACCTGAACCAGCCTGCCCACTCACCTGCCAACCACCAAGCCCATCTGCCTGCCATCCATTCATCCAGCCTGCCCACTCACCCACCTGTCTGCCCACCCACTGGCTCTGCCCACCTACCAGCCTGGCAGCTGCTGACCACCCACAAAGCCTCACACACTAATTATAGTGTGTGGAAATTCAAATTATGTTTGTGGTACAAACATTTTTGGAAATGTTCACTTTTGTACTTCCACGGTGAAACTTCCTTTGATCCGGAAAACAGGCTCATCCAGCAAGGGGTCCTTCCCATATAGTCCGGATTAGCAAACTTCTACAGTACTGAATATATTATTTGATACCTCTCTTATCTCCTTTCTAAAGAAAATTTGGAGAGCTTTGAGATGATTCCAATAGTTTAGGTGCTTTATAATGCCTGTATGCTGTATTGGTTCTTTGTATTCACTCTATTTCAGCAATCTCTCCTGCTTTGAAGGGAAAAGTTAGTACAGTATTGAGCAGTACTCAAGACGGGACAACACAAGTGACTTGAATAGTACAACCATTGTGATGGGATCCCTGGATTTGAAGGTTCTCGTAATTCATTCTATCATATTTCTGGCTGATGCTATATTTGTTAGATTTTGCTCCATAAATTTTAGGTCATCAGACATCCTTATTTCCAGATACAGTACATCCTCACTTTAACGAACCCCGCTCTAGCAAATTCCCAGAAGATCCGAACAAATTGAATTTGGTACTAAATGTTCAATGGAACATACAAATGTTCAATTAAGCGAGGACTTTTCATCCAAGCAGTCACCGAGACTGAGCATCAGAGGTGGCTGTCATCAACTATGATTCGCCAAAGTGTAAACAGTTATACAGTGTTTTATTATGCTTACCCATTGTTTCTAGGGAGATGTGGTTGAAGGATGATAAAATGGTGTCAGGGGTCATTGGTGAGAATTGTTGTCAGGGGGCAAGTGGTGTTAGTAGTTAGGGTTTATTGTTAGGGGACAGGTGGTGTAAGATATTCTCATGGGAGGTGGGTTGTGTCAGTTGTGGAAGTTGTTAAGGAAGACAGAGTAATAGTGGTGTCAGTGGTGGAAGTTGTCAGGGAAGGCAGAGTAATAGTGGTGTCAGGGGAGGCAGGTTGTGTCAGTGGAGAGCTCTGGCATGAGTTATCATCTAAATGGCAACATGTAGCTGGCGCCTCCATGCTCCACCTTGACAGTTCACTCACTGTTTGCTTTATGCCAAATTATATGAGAAAATGTTACCATTTCAGTTGTTTGTAACACACAGCTCTATCATATTCCATAGTCAAAATGAAGAATTCATAATAAATATTGGTGTCAGTAGTGAGGGGATGGTATTGGGGGGGGGGGGTAAGAAGGCAGCTAGCCTCTACACAGTACATAGAGGCAAACCAACAAAATCAATAGAGAGAGGGAGAGTGAAGAATAAGGAGAGGGGGGAACAAGTTCCTGAAGATTGCATACACTAACATAGATGGAGTGAGATCGAAGATACTGGAGTTAAATGAAGTAATACAGCTGCAGACACCAGACATTGTTGCACTCACAGAGACAAAACTTGAAGATGTTATTTTAAATGAGGCCATATTCCCAAGGGGCTACTCAATTTGGAGACGGGACAGAAAAATTAGGAAAGGCAGTGACGTTGGTGTGCTGGTGAAAGAACACCTAAAGATGAAGGAAATAATGATTACCAATCCACAAGAAGTTGACATAATAGCACTAGAGATCTGTCATGAAGATGATAAACTAACGATCATAAATGCATATAATCCACCGCCAAGCAGCACATGGTCAAAGGAGGAGCTAGATAGTAAACGAGAAGGTCTTATAACAATAATGGAGAGATTATAGCGAGAGCGGAAAACGATAGATCACGACTCTTGATAGTCGGTGACTTCAACTTGAAATCCATAGACTGGGAAGCATATGAAGCTAAAACAGAAGATTTTTGGACCTGTAGATCATCCTGGAAACATTCTTGTATCAATATGTTAAACAAGCTACGAGGATGAGGGAAGGGGACGTTCCCTCCATGCTAGATTTGATATTTACCAGGAAGGAGGAAGAGATATTTGACATTCAGTACCTTCCTCCCTTTGGTAAAAGTGACCATGTCTTTTTGGGAATAAAGTATGTAGTGCATTATAATCTGGAAGAAAATAAGGAGGTTGAAGCAGTTGAAAAACCTGACTTCAGGAAAGGACATTATGGCAACCTTAGAAATTTTTTTAGTGAGTATAATTGGACAATCTTGTTGCTAGGCAAGGAAGTGAATGAGATGTATGTCAAGTTTTGTGAAATATATGATAAAGGCACAAAATAATTTATACCAAAACAGAGATGCAGAACTAGGAAACAGGATTGGTTCAATAGAAATTGCGAGAGGGCCAGAGACCAAGACACAAAAATGGAATCAATACAGGAAGAGGCCAAACCCCCAAACATACCAGTGATACAAAGATGCGAGAAACAACTACACGGCAGTGAGGAGAGAGGCAGGAAGAAATTTTGAAAAAAAGGACTGCAGACAAATGTAGAACAGAACCAGGTCTATTTTGTAAATTCATAAACAACAAATTGCAGGTAAAGGATAATATTCAGAGGTTAAAAATGGGAAATAGATTCACGGAAAATGAAAAGGAAATGTGTGAAACACTAAACGAAAAGTTCGAAAGTGTGTTTGTACAAAATGAAATCTTTAGGGAACCAGACACAATAAGAATTCCAGAGAACAACATAGAGCACATAGAGGTGTCTATAGACAAAGTGGAAAAAATGCTCAAGGAGCTAAGTAAGAACAAAGCAGTTGGTCCAGATGGAGTTTCACCATGGGTTCTGAGAGAATGTGCACCTGAGCTCAGCATTCCACTTTAACTGATTTTTCAGGCATCCCTGTGTACAGGAGTTGTAGCTGATGTATGGAAAAAGGCTAACATAGTTCCAATCTACAAAAGTGGAAGCAGGTAAGACCCCCTTAATTATAGACCTGTATCATTGACAAGTGTAATAGTCAAAATACAGTATTGGAAAAAATAATTAAAACTAAATGGGTAGAACACCTGGAGGAAAATGATATAATATCAGACAGACAGTATGGTATTCGATCTGGAAGATCCTGTGTAACGAACTTACTCAGTTTTTATGATCGAGCCACAGAGATTTTACAGGAAAGAGATGGTTGGGTTGACTGCATCTATCTGGACCTTAAAAAGGCTTTTGACAGTTCCCCATAAGAGGTTGTTCCGGAAACTGGAACATATTGGAGGGGTGACAGGTAAGCTACTAACATGGATGATGCTAAGATAAGTTTGCTGATGATGCTAAGATAATAAGGAATATAAGAAACCTAGATGATTGTCATGCCCTTCAAAAATACCTGGACCAAATAAGGATATGGAGCAATACTTGGCAAATGGAATTTAATGTGAATAAATGCCATGTTATGGAATGTGAAATTGGAGAACATTGACCCCACACAACCTATAAATTATGTGAGAAATCTTTAAAGAATTCTGATAAAGAGATCTAGGCATGATTTTTGATAGAAAACTATCACCTGAGGATCACATTAAGAACTTTGTGCGAGGGGCCTATGATACACTTTTTAACTTAAGAATTTCTTTTAAATACATGGATGGCAAAATACTAAAGAAATTGTTCACGACTTTTGTTAGACCAAAGCTGTAATATGCAGCGGTTGTGTTGTGTGGTGCCCATATCTAAAGATGCACATCAACCAACTGGAAAAGGTGCAAAGACATGCCACTCAGTGGCTCGCAGAACTGAAGGATAGGAGCTGAGGAGAGGTTAGAGGCATTAAATATGCCAAAACTAGAAGACAGAAGAAAAAGAGATGATATGATCACTACGTACAAAATAGTTTAAACAGGAATTGATAAAACTGATAGGGAAGACCTGGAACTGGAATTTCCTGGTCCAGCATTTTACCTTCAAGAACAAGAGGTCATAGATTTATGACCTCTTGTCATAATGACGAAGAAATAGAAGAAAATTCACTTTCGCAAACAGAGTGGTAGATGGTTGGAACAAGGTAGGTGAGAAGGTGATGGAGGCCAAAACCATCAGCAGTTTCAAAGTGTTATATGACAGAGTGCTGGGAAGACGGGACACCACAAGAGTAGCTCTCATCCTGTAACTACACTTAGATAATTATACTTTGGTAATTACTTGTACCGTGATGCTGTACTTGGCATATACCCAAGCTTATGTACACAGAGCATCTCATTACCCCTCAATCTGTCAGGAACTGCATGTGGCATTGTTGCTGGTACCCTGCGCATTGCAACAGAGCCCTCCTTCCTATTCATCACAAGCAGTTGTGATGTGACCTATAATTAAACTAACCTGGTTCAACACAACCTAACCTAGCTCAACCCAGCCTAACCTAGCTCAACCCAGCCTAACCTAGCTCAATCCAACCTAACCTAGCTCAACCTAGCATACACTAACCCAACACAAACCAACGAAGCCCAATACTGCCTAACCTAAGCTAATTCATCCTAGCATAACAATATATATGGTTTTAAAATACAAAGACGAATCTTCTCGTGTCCGAAACGTCCACTCCTACCCTACAGCAACGTCGCCCATTACCACAGAGGCACTGGTACCCAACACCAACATCTCCTTCACCATCACAAAGTGAAACACAGCTCCCTAAGACTGGCTAGCAAGATACTGAAATATAAATAATTAAAGTATAATTAGGTGGTTAAACGCTGGGAAGTGACCACAAACAGTCTGGGTCAACACAGCCCGAGGGACGCCGCCATATTTTCCGACGCTGCAATTTCAGAGGCTACCAATAACAACTTTTTGACACTGGCATTCCAACTTACCTCAAGTGTCTGTCTTTCCACCACAAATCATCCTTTAATATGAAGAATTGGTCATAATACGAGAGCAACAACCAGCTAGCAGCTGCTGTTGTGGGAAGTTCAGGGTTGCTAGATCCGAGTTGTTGAAAGTAGCGAGCTGACGATCTAAAAGTAGCGAATTTGTAGGTAAAGTAGCCCAATATTTGGTTTAGCAGTTGATACGGTTTACAGAGTAATATATTTTAATACATAGAGAAACTCTACATGATTTAATGGTTATACAACCATTAAATTATATTATCACTGCACGTATAATATAAATTGTGATAATAGGATAACTTAGCAATATTTGCTGCATGAAGCATAATGAGAGTTGAGTCCTTCAATGTAATCATTTTTTTTTATTAACATACTTAGGTATACACAGCATATATGTATACCTATATATATATCAGCACGTTGCTATACACAGCAACGTGCTGCTACCCTCTCACATAGGTGTTGTCCAGCATGATGACACAGACAAGGCAGCTAAATCTGCATGTGATAAGCCTGAAACTTTGAAATTGAAATTGGAATAAGTTTATTGAGGTAAAATATATACAAAGAGATGAGGTAGCTCCAGCTGTTCTCACCCCGTTCAGTACATCGTGTTAATACATACATATACACACACATCACAAACAATAAACAGTTGCGAGTGCAGCGGCGAAGTAAGGGCAGAGCCTGAATCTGAATCTGAATAATACAGAAGATGCCCATTGGGGCAAGCCTTGAGGTGGGGACAGCTGAAGAGTAGTCGGTGAGAGGAAATGCTGAAGTTGAAGAAAAAGTGCCAGGGCTAAACCCAGCTGCGTGGCAATATGTCGATGCTGCAAACAACCCAACAACTGGCTAGGCTGGTCTGGAAGGCGGCAGTGGCAGTGCTTCTACATTCAAGGTGGAAACAATCTGTCTTCAGGTGGTGTCTTCTTCTTCTTCAATTTGGTGTTTCTTCTTGCTTCGAGTAATCATTTGATGTTTGTACTCGGCGTAGTCTGGTGGGAAAAGGTCCTTTGACAATGTGGTTTCGTCGCATTCAAATAAGATTACTTCGTTCCTTAGTATGAACTTTGAGTCTGGATCATTCAGCAGGCATTCCGCCTGCTGGGGTAACGAGGGGCTCTGCCCCTCGTTACCCCAGTATTTATATGGCCCCAGACTGCCCGCGCAACGCCGCGGGACGCGCTGCGCAATTGTTTCTTTCTCCCCCATCAGAAACATCTCCGCTTGCAAAGCAGAGGCCATTTTCTGATCAGGGGGAAAACGACACTGACAGTATGGGACTTATTTATTGGTAGATTAAATTCTGCAGAACATGTAGATATATAAAGTAAAAATTAAGAAAAGTAACAATTCCAAGTCCGAGTACTAGTATTTAACTTAAAAAGTACACCCATAGTAAGTAAGAGTAAGCTTAGCCTATAGTGACATGGTAAACGAATTCTGCAGAAACCTAATAGCTTATCTGGTACTAGAATTAAGGCCGTGGGCAAATGTGTAGTAATTATATAACACTAGGTATAACAGTCAGGACACAAAGAGTAACTATCAAGTGAGTAGACCACATATAACACTTAATGGAGCCCGACCAAGAGGCCGTAAAGACATAATGAATAAGGAGAAGGGGTTCCTGACTAAAGGTAGGGCTTACTAGCACCTAGACTGGGCAAAGTATTAGCTGCGGACAGCGGGACACTTGGGGACTGGCGCTGCACCCCCACCGCAGGCCAGCGGCCGGACCCCTCCCCCCCGAAGAGCGAGTGCCAGCTGGCCGCGAGAGGTCCTCAAAGTGGCAGAGCAACAACGTCCCGCCTGACGTAGGAAGTAAAAGCACTGCTTCCACCTGCCGACTGCCATTATCTCTCATGGGGCGAGCCCGTCCAGAGACAGCTGGGTGGCCCTGCCGATACGAAAGGAATGCGGGGCGTAGTCAGCTGGGGGCAAGCCTAGCGCCGTGAGGGCAGCGCGAAGGATCCTGGTGAAATCTCGCCTGGTGACAGGAGCGCCTGCGGCTTGTTTGAATATGGGCCCAAGGCCCTATAGTTAAAGTATTTAGAGAGTGCACGGACCGGGCATTACTTGCTGGAAGGGCTAGCTCTCAGGGTGAGGGTGGGCGTGCGACCTGCGCTGTGCTTTTAAGTGTTGAAGACGATATCTATTCCTATCGTCGTAACTGATAGCTGTTCAATGCTGAGCATGTGTCGTCCGCACTGCGCGTAGACCGCCTCGCCCGAGCGTAGGCAGGCGTGGAAAGCCAGGGAAAAGAGCGCCCTGTAGCAATACTTCTCATAGGCAGAGTTACATACGCCTCCCAGTGCCCGCAGCAGGCGATGCAGGAGGTTCCTCCTCACAGGGAGACGCCGCGCAGGGGCCCGTTGTGCGGAGTTACGTGCCCCCTTTGAGGAGTTGAGAGACCAGGAACTGTCGTGTTGGATCCCTCCTACCGTGTAGCTTGCAGACGAAGGCGATGGCCACTAGATATGCATGAAGAGAACGGAAAGCCAGGCCCCGCGAGAGCAGAGATTGCAGGAAGTTCACCAGGGTCGAAGGTGTAGCATCAAAGGGGCATCCATCCTCGCCGTCCTGCCGAGACGTAGGCGGCATACTCCATCCACTTAGCCCGGTAAGCACGCCTCGTCGCTGGCTGCAGGGAGTTGAATAGGGTCCTCACAGTTGCAGGGCAGGAGGTGCGCGGGAACTAAGGTCGGCGTCGCGGCGAGGCCTGCGTCTCGCAGGAACAAGGGCGGCAGCGTCTGTAAGCGGGAGAGACCATCACAAACTCCGTTTAATTTGCCTGGGAGATGGGAGGGGATGAGTGTAATGTTATGAATGAGCAAGAGCACTGCCAAGGGCCTGACAATTTGCATTAGAAGGGGGCACCTAGCAGAGAGTGAGGTGAGCACGTTTACCACTGCACTGTTGTCCGATTTGCACACCAACCTCTTATTGGCCAATACCGGGGAGAATAGTGCTATACCCATGTAGAAAGGGTAGAGCTCGAGCAATGCAATGTTGAGCCGACACCAGACCTGCGGCCACGTTCCCCTGAACCAGGCTGCCCCTAGCGTTAGGCCATACCCCTTGGAAGAAGCATCAGCACACATTGAAAGTGATGGGGCACTTCCCCATCCACCATCTGGGGGAAAGAATGTTACTCCATTGAAGTCACTGAGGAAGGAGCGCCAGGCGACGAGGTCGAGCTTAGCCTCAGCGTCCAAGTGGCATAGGCGCGAGGGGCGCTGAGCACCCCGCGTGAGCGGGGGTGCTCAGCGCCTCACCCCTCCTCAGTGACTTCAATGGAGTAACATTCTTTCCCCCAGATGGTGGATGGGGAAGTGCCCCATCACTTTCAATGTGTGCTCATACCATACCTTCCAAGGGGTATGGCCTAACGCTAGGGGCAGCCTGGTTCAGGGGAACGTGGCCGCAGGTCTGGTGTCGGCTCAACATTGCATTGCTCGAGCTCTACCCTTTCTACATGGGTATAGCACTATTCGCCCCGGTATTGGCCAATAAGAGGTTGGTGTGCAAATCGGACAACAGTGCAGTGGTAAACGTGCTCACCTCACTCTCTGCTAGGTGCCCCCTTCTAATGCAAATTGTCAGGCCCTTGGCAGTGCTCTTGCTCATTCATAACATTACACTCATTCCCTCCCATCTCCCAGGCAAATTAAACGGGGTTTGTGATGCTCTCTCCCGCTTACAGACGCTGCCGCCCTTGTTCCTGCGAGACGCAGGCCTCGCCGCGACGCCTACCTTAGTTCCCGCGCACCTCCTGCCCTGCAACTGTGAGGACCCTATTCAACTCCCTTCTCATAAGAACATAAGAACAAAGGCAATTGCAGAAGGCCTATTGGCCCATACGAGGTAGCTCCTACTTATAACCACCCAATCCCACTCATATACATGTCCAACCCATGCTTGAAACAATCGAGGGACCCCATCTCCACCACGTTACGCGGCAATTGGTTCCACAAATCATCAACCCTGTTACTGAACCAGTATTTACCCAAGTCTTTCCTAAATCTAAACTTATCCAATGTATACCCATTGTTTCGTGTTCTGTCTTGTGTTGATACTTTTAATACCCTATTAATATCCCCTTTGTTATGTCCATTCATCCACTTGTAAACCTCTATCATGTCACTGCTAATTCTTCCCCTTTCCAGTGAATGTAACTTAAGCTTTGTTAATCTTTCTCCATATGAATGATTTCTAATATGGGGAATTAACTTAGTCATCCTACGCTGGACACGTTCAAGTGAATTTATATCCATTCTATAATACGACGACCAAAACTGAACTGCATAATATAAATGGGAGCCTAACCATGATTGAGTGTTGTTATAACAACACTCCTGAGTGTTGTTATATTATCATAGCAATATGGAAGTTGTAGTGAAGGACCTGGTGACTCTAGTGGGAGCCCTGAGGACAGAGTTGGACTCTCTGCGGGAGGAGGTGCGTCAGCTTAAAAAACAACGAGAAGTAACGAAGGAGGAGACCAGCAGTAAAGGGACCTCGTCTTGGAGAGTTGCGAAAGACAGGGGCCTTAAGAAGACTTTGATAAAGCCGCCTTCAAACGCCATAGCAACTTCAAATTCATTTGACGTTTTGGAGGACGAGTGCTGTGGAGAGACTGTGGATCGCGCAAAAGGGAAAGCAACGAAGAGAAAGGAAGCGCAGGCCCCTCAGAAAGTAAAGGAAGTACCTAAGCAAACATTAGTTGTGGGAGATTCCCAGATAAGGTATTTGGATAGAACGTTTTGTGCTAGAGATAGGGGGAACAGGTTAAGGGTTTGCTATCCCGGAGCTGGCATTGGTGATATTATAAACAACATGAATGATATTATGGCTGGTAATGGGAACAATCCCATTATTTGCATTAGCGTGGGAGGAAATGATGTTGGTCGAGTCAGGAGTGAGGAACTGATTCAGAGGTATAAAACAGCCATAGAGTTAGTTAGGAGCAAGGGAGGAATCCCGATCATATGTGGCATTCTTCCAAGAAAGGGAGTGGGAAATGAATGGATATCGAGGGCACTTGGTGTCAATTGCCGGCTGGAAAGATATTGCAAATCAAATGCAATATCTTTCATAGACAACTGGGAACACTTCTATGGAAGAAATGAAATGTATGCTCGTGATGGGGTGCATCTATCGAGAGCTGGGGTTGTTGCTGTTGCGAACTCGCTAGAAGAAGTGGTTAGAGGTGTTTGTTTGGGTTTAAACTGTTAGTAGATAGAGGTATGGGAATTGATTTGGAGGAAGGAGGTAATAAAAGTA